GTTTTCATTTATCTAATACCTCAGCAATTCACCTGTCTCACCAACAATCTAATAGTAAGTAGCTCACTTCGAAGTTTTCAAGCCATTCTGATCAATGTAACCGAACTGATTCGTTATGAAACATCAACTGCTCAAGGAATACACAGAGTAGTCAATAAGGCTATCAAACTATTCGTTTATGATGGTTCGCTTGTCAGACCGTTCAAAAGTAGATTGTAATCGAAGTCAAACGTGATTTACTTGAAGGTGCATCCACGGATCTAAGTGATGTGATGACATATGGTGAACGCTGGAAGAACATGCTCTCCTATGCAACCACAACACTGGGATATGAATTGCTTGGCAGTAGATATACCAACTACGAGGGTGCTGCACCTGGTTTTTCGATAGAGGTTAAGGATAGTGATGAAATTTCGAATAGATTACAGCTGATTACTTCAGTAGTACCGATCATGCTGAATATCGCCTGCACTTACTGGAAGAATGTAAAACCATTTGTGATGCTGGACAGTGGAAACGACGTGATGATATTTCAGAGTGTATTGCCGAAGAGTGTGTTCGCATTTGTGAATTCCGAGGAATTTTTCGAGTATCCACGACCAATAAGTCATAAAACCATTTTCATTGGCGGCATTGGTGTGAAAAAGGCAAAACCACTAAATGAAGTGAGCTTTACAAATAAGTTGATCGTTTGTTTGAATATTTGTTGACTAAGTGAGATATGGATCGCAGGAAATTTTCGCAGTTCAATCAGTCATCATTCTATTGATTTGCCTTATCACAGCTATTTCAACATCGAAGAAGCTTCATTAGATTTGTTCAAAACACCGAAGTTTAATTGCTGAAATTTATGATGAAGTGTTGTTGGAAGTAAATTTGAAATTTGAAGGAATACAAGGAGATAATGAATAATGCAAATGGGCCTGTTGTATTGGTGTCGTTTGGTTCGGTGGCTAAGAGTGCAGAAATGCCATTGCATATAAGGAATGTTTTTATTGAGACATTCACTCGATTGCCTGAGGTATCATAACAATGACCGCAGTTGGTTTATTCAAGTTGCTATTGAATATTTTAAAGTGACTGATTCATGGCTCACTTTGATTTGTGCTCGAATGATTGAACTGCTTCATTCCGCAGGTGACATTCATTTGGAAGTATGAAACGTCTGTTGCTGACGATATTGTTGCTAATCTAACGAATGTGATAACCAAAAAATGGGTTCCACAAACGGATTTATTGGGTGAGTTCATTTGATTTTTAGAAATGTTTCCCTAAGATTTGAAAGCAGCAACTGGCAACAGCGAGTGGAGGACTAATTTTGCTCAGTAGCTTTTTAGCAAAATAAAATTTACCACCACTTTTCTCGATTAGCGGCACTTGTAACGAGAATTTTTCGTTTCTTTTTCGTCAGCTGCTCTACTAGCGGATTATTTTTAGCGGAACAAAAATATTTTTCCAGCGAATTAGCGACTGAGGAAGCTACATTTCCCAGTAGCGTGTCTATGACTGATTAAGACAATCACCTTTATGCAGCCCGAAACCGAAATCTGGAACCATTGGACAGTTACAAACTATCATTATAATTACAAACTTGGTCTCAAATTAAGAACTTGATTTGAGAAATTCACATTCCTTCAGTTTAAGAGCTTTTTGGCATCAAGATCGTTCAAATAATGAACAAATTTAAGCACATCCCAAACTGCGTGCATTTTTGACTCACGCTGGTCAAAACAGCGTAACGGAGAGTATTCATGCGGGTGTTCCAATGGTGTGTATACCGTTATACGGTGATCAACAACGCAATGGAAAGATAGCTGAAAAGAAGAACGTTGCAGTGGTGCTTGATAAACGAGCACTGCATGCCGATCTTCTCACTGAAGCAATACGAAACGTTCTTTACAATGGCACGTAAGTAATTGAAATTCTACTGATTAATTTGGATTGCGTTGGTTTATGTATCACGATACACTTCGTGAAATAATTATCCCCTCAAATTACGCTCTCCAACGGAAGACGTGAACTGAGCGAGGAGAAACTCCATTAGCAAAGTCATTGTTGAACAGTTTATCCGGCAAATAATTTTGGTGTGTCTTCTGACATTAGAAACTGTCATAATTGTATCGGATGTCATATTCAACTTCATCTGAATATCCGACAGAATTCACAAATCGTACA